ACTACCCACTGTACCATACTACTCTAATACTTTACATACAAAGTAACTTACAAAAACTAATACTATTGCTACATACTCTCAGTCTACACTCTACTGCTACTACTATACTAGTTTCTATACTATAATTTAAAATACTTACTCACTTTCTACTACTAGTACACTACAAAACTCTACTACTTTCTAGTTTTTACAACTACTACTACTATTACTATACTACTCTATACACTACTATACTATACTACTACACTAAAAACTACTAACTACTAAGTACACTACTACTACTTCTAAGTACTACAATACTTACTACTACTACTACTACTGTCTACTACTACATACTAGTACTTAACTACACTATACACTACAAATACTACTACTACTGCACTAAATTTTCATTCCCAATTTAATTAAATAAACTACTAGTATATACTACTACTACTAGTAACTACAACTACTTACTACTTTTTAGTCTATACTAATATACTACTAATAATAAAATATGAAAAACAAGAACTGAAAAATGAAAATTGACGAAGAATAATTTTCCCCTTGTTTTAAATTTTCGGTGAAGCTTGGTGTAAGCTTGTGTAAGCTTGATGTAAGCTTGATGAAGCTTTTGTAAGCTTTTTTGATGTAAGCTTGGTGTAAGCTTGGTAAGCTTGATGTAAGTTTTTGGGGTGTAAGCTTGGTGTAAGCTTGATGTAAGTTGGGGGGAAGCTTGATGTAAGCTTTTGGGAAATGTAACTTGGGTTTGCTTGGTAAACTTGGTAATTTTTTAAGCTTTTTGTAAGTTTGAGTAAGCTTGATTTAAGCTTGATGAAAACTTTTGTAAGTTTAGTAAACTTTGGAATTGTAACTTTGGGGGTTAAAAAGGGTGGCCTTGGGGGGGGGAATTTTTTTAAAGGGGGGTTTTGGGGAAGCTTGAGTAAACTGGTGTTTTAATTGATGTAACTTGGGTAAGCTTGTGTAAGTTGAGAACTTGTGGGAACTTTGGGTAACTTGATGTAAACTTTGAAGCTTGGTAAGCTTGATGTAAGTTGGGGGAAGCTTTATGTAAACCCTTTGGGGTAAGCTTTAAGTTAGTAAACTTGGGTAAAATTATGTAAGTTGTGTAAGCTTGGTGAAGGTTGATGAAACCTTTTTTAAGCTTGTTTTAACTTTATAAGCTTTGTAAGTTGGTAAGCTATGAATTTTTAAGCTTGTGTAAAATTGGTGTAAGCTTTATAAGTTGAGTAAACTTTATGTAAGCTTTATGTAAACTTGATGTAAGCTTGGTTAAGGTTGATTAAGCTTGTTAAGCTTTATGTAAACTTGATGAAGTTGGGTTAAGGTTATGTAATTTTTAAGTTTTAAACTTAAAATTAACTTGGTTTTGTTAGAAGCTTGGGAAGCGAGTAATTGGGGTTTAATTTTAAAAAATTATTAACCCAAAAAATTTTCTTGGTTCTTGATTAATTTTGGGAAAATTTTAAAAAACTTGGGGGTTAATTTTTCTTATAAAAAAAATTAATTTAAGTAAAAAAATTATTTTTTTAAATTTAAATTTTGAAAAAAAACAAATTAATTGAGAAAATTTAAAAATTCTTTAACTAAAAAATCTTTTCTTGGGGTTTTTTTAAATTTTTTTTTTGGGGAAAAAAAAAAAAAGGGGGGAAATTTTAAAAACCAAAAAAAAAAAAACAAAACCAATTTTTTTTTTTATTTCTTAAAAAAATATACTTTTAAAAATTGGATTTTGGGCTTAAAACAAAATTTTTTTTGAACGGGGCCGATTTTAAAAAAAATAATTTTACCAAAAAAAAAAACCAAAAACACAAAAAAAAAAAAAAAAATATTTCGGGAAAAAAAGGGGGTTGAAAAAATAAGCAAAAAGGAAAACAAAAACTAAAGAAAATTGGGGGTTAAAAAAAAGGGTTTAAAAGGTTTTTTTAAAAGTTTGCCGGGGAAAAATTGGGAAACTCCCCCAAACAACCAAAAAAACTAACACAACAAAAAAACCCCAAAATTTTAAGGCCGGGGGGTTGGGGAAAACAAGAAAAGGGAAAAAAAACAAAAACTAAACGGGAAACAAAACCCAACGACCTTTTTGGAAAAAAAAAGGGGGGGGAAAAAGAAAAAATCCCTCGGGGGAAAAAAAGAGAGTCAAAAACCCCCCCCAAAAGGGGACCCAAAGATTTCCTAATTTAAAACAAACAAAAAAGGTAAAAAAAAAAAATAAAACAGGAAACCCCCCCATATTCCCCCGGGGCCTGATTTCTCCTGCTCTCCACCTTTTTTGCCTACCATTCCTTTCTTCTGGTGTTCTGTCTCAGTCCAGGTACACTCTCAGGAACTCCTGATTGTCCCTTAGGCACGCTTTCTCCTGCAGGATCCGGTTTCGAGCTGACTCTGCTTCGAAAATCACTTTGACTGGACCCTTTTTTCCTCTCCCAAACCACCCAATTTTCCAAAAATTTGTCAGCTGGGTCATGTCGTCCTCTCCTATTGCTTTCATGATGTTTTCAATCGTTTTTTTTCTCCTCCTGTTTCTTGCCTCGTAAGTTTCCCCATCTACTTCTCCGAGCCAATATACAAAAATGGCGCTCTCCCTTTTGTCCTCCCACCGTGCTTCCCTGAGCATCCTCTGATAAAAATTAGATCCCGCCATTGACGCATTGCTTCTTACTGTCTCTTCCCTATCCAGTGCCCCTGTGCTTATCTATTCCAGGACATGGCAGTTGTCTGTTAGAGCCTCTTTGTATAGTCTAGCTCCTTCATTGTCTTTAGTCTCGTCATTAGTTCCTGCTGTTCTTCATGCCTTTTCCCAGACCCCCCTTGTGTCCGATAGAGCGATAGAGTCATCGTGTGTGTGTGTGTGTGTGTGTGTGTGTGTGTGTGTGTGTGTTGTGTGTGTGTGTGTGTGTGTGTGTGTGTGTGTGTCGTGCCGAATAGGTAAAACTCGCCAGTTAGCAGAATGAACTCATTTAGAATTAAGACCTTTCTAAAATTTTCTCTTATACATTTAAAGATATATATTTTTTCATTTATGTTAATAAAAAAATTTAATGGTTTTGTACTAAAAGAACATTAGGAAACTTACCTAACCTTATTATAACAAGCGCAATTTAATTTAGCCTAACCCAACGAAATATATTTTACATAATTTTACAATAAATTAATAAAAAGAAACGCAAGAAATAGATTTTTGTCGTTAGATTCATAATGATTTTTGTGAAATTATTGGATACTCAAATTATCGCTTGCCTTGTTCGGCAAGAAGGGTGTTGCTATTTAAGCCAAAATCGCAAGTTTTACTTATAGTATATTGTTTAAAGATACATGAAGATAAAATGGAACACTGAATGTGCTCTTGCATGCCAACTAAGCTTATATCAAGCTTACATCAGGCTTACATCAAGCTTATATCAAGCTTATATCAAGCTTACATCAAGCTTACATCAAGCTTACATCAAGCTTACACTTACAACATTACACCAAGCTTACATCAAGTTTACATCAAGCTTAAATCAAGCTTACATCAAGCTTACACCAAGCTTACATCAAGTTTACATCAAGCTTAAAGCAAGCTTACATCAACCTTACACCAAGCTTACATCAAGCTTACATAAAGCTTACATCAAGTTTACGTCAAGCTTATATAAAGCTTACACCAAGTTTACATCAAGCTTACACCAAACTTACATCAAGCTTACACCAAGCTTACATGAAGCTTACATCAAGCTTACACCAAGCTTACACCAAGGTTACATCAAGCTTACACCAAGCTTACATCAAGCTTACATCAAGCTTACACCAAGCTTACATCAAGCTTGCACCAAGCTTACACAAGTTACATCAACTTACACCAAGCTTACATCAAGCTTACATCAAGCTTACACCAAGCTTACATCAAGCTTACGCCAAGCTTCCATCAAGCTTCCATCAAGCTTACATCAAGCTTACACCAAGCTTACATCAAGTTTACACCAAGTTTACATCAAGCTTACACCAAACCTACATCAAGCTTACACAAAGCTTACATCAAGCTTACATCAAGCTTACACCAAGCTTACATCAAGCTTCCATCAAGCTTACATCAAGCTTACATCAAGCTTACACCAAGCTTACATCAAGCTTATCAAGCTTACATCAAGCTTACATCAAGCTTCCACCAAGCTTACATCAAGCTTACATCAAGCTTACACCAAGCTTACATCAAGCTTACATCAAGCTTACACCAAGCTTCCCTCAAGAATCCCCTTTCACAAGCTTACACAAGCTTACATCAAGTTACACCAAGTTTAAAATTTAAGCTTCACCCACCAACAAGCTAACAAGTTAATCAATTCTCAATTTTCAATTTCAGTTTTGCTTTCCTTCCCCCAAATTAAAGTAATAAGTTAACCAGAATAGTTAAAAGTTAATAAATACATAAAATTAACAAGTTTAAAAAGTTAAAAATTTTAAGTTACATAAGTACAAAGTTAAAAG